GTGGTTGTTTGTGGTGCGCGTTAAATGGGTATTTCCAGTCCAGGGCACTGCGTGTCTCTTGGCTGCATTGATCAGAGGATTTGCAGGGGTTTTCCTAGAGGTTCAAGGCACCTCATGGGAGCCCTTTTTGCACACAGTGACTGAAGCTCACCTGATTTCCAGGTGTGCTGCAGGGCCCTGCTGAAGCTAAAGGCACCAAATTGCTGTTAAGGATGGTCTTTGACCAGTCTAGACCTGGGGTTGAGCAGCTTCTGTAGGAATTGAACCAGTTGGGAATAAACTCCAAAGCTGTTCCTGAATTCCTTCCATCCCTCTGCAATCTCTAGCACAAGGAGCTTTACTGGGTTTGTGCTTTGGGGTTTTTGTCTCAAGCCAAGTAGGAGAAAGCTCTTAAAAGGGCACATGGGTTGTCCTGAAATTGTTGAATGACCTGAGAAACTGCTGAATGTAATCCCCCTTTGCTAGAAACAGCTGTCTCAACTGTCCTGAGCAAGTTCCTCCTGGTTGCGACATGCGTGCTCCTAAATCCCAAGTTTTCTTTCCCTTGGGTAGAAGATAGTTGTTATTTTTATTTATTTTCACAGCCTTTTAAAACAGGATATCGATACTTTCTTTGTCCTCTCCCTAACTGTATTGTACCTGTGCTTTCTTTTCCCTCTGTAGATGACCAGGGCTTGGAAAGCGGTGGCCTGTGGTGGAACCCGAGACCAACTCTTCATGCAGGAGAAAGCTCGCCAGTTTTTGGGCATGTTGAAACAGAGTCACACATCAAGGACCTTAATCTTATCATGAAGGATTGTTCTGCTTTTTTTTATTTTATTTTTTTAAAATTTTTTTATAAGGAGAGGGGGAGCCACAGGAAAAAATATCCTCTGTGTTGGGGGTGGATTTTTTCCTTCCGTTCCCAGGTAGATCTATATTGTAATAAATTGGGCTAAGCGCTGGCTAATGTGTGGAATGCGAGTTTTGGGATGATTACAGAGAGGCAAATGAGGGAGGGATGGATGGAGAGCTAATGGTAAGACCTCTCTCTGCAAAGACCTGGGTTCTGCCAAAGCAGCTGTGTCCCTCCTCGGAGCAGCGTGTGCAGGATGCGATGGAGACCGGCCTCACCGCCTGCCTGGATTTAATGCTGGCTTCTCTGGTACCTCAGGAATGGCTTTTTGGGAAGGTTCCTGCATGTCTTGTGTCTCCTCTTCTGGCTTTCCTCGGGGATGGAGCGGTCCCCCCTCGCTCACGGAGGAGGGAGGGTGTTACGGACTCGTGGGAGAGGTGTTTTGGGGTGACCCCTGTTCAGAGCTGGCCCTTTGCTCCCTGTGGGGCTGTTTGTACTGCCGTGCTGCGGGGGGGGCGAGCAGCAGCGGGGGCACCTCTCCCCAGGGCTCTGCTCCCTCTCCAAATAAACGATGGTGCTAACATCACCCTGTTGCTCCGACTCTCACTCTGCCCGGGGCCTCACCACGCTCGGGGGGAGGCAGCGCTGTGCTGGGGTGGTGAGATGCAGTGAAGCACTGGTTTTCATGTGGCATCTTTTCTTTCTGGATGGTGAGATGCAGTGAAGCACTGGTTTTCGTGTGGCATCTTTTCTTTCTGGATGGTGAGATGCAGTGAAGCCCTGGTTTTCGTGTGGCATCTTTTCTTTCTGGATGGTGAGATGCAGTGAAGCACTGGTTTTCGTGTGGCATCTTTTCTTTCTGGATGGTGAGATGCAGTGAAGCCCTGGTTTTCATGTGGCATCTTTTCTTTCTGGATGGTGAGATGCAGTGAAGCACTGGTTTTCACGTGGCATCTTTTCTTTCTGGGTGGTGAGATGCAGTGAAGCCCTGGTTTTCATGTGGCATCTTTTCAGCAATTTGCCAGGAAAGAATTCTTTTTAGCTTCTCAGTGTGGGGAGGGGAAAGGGATGGTTTCCCCCAACCCTTAGTAGTTTCATCGGCTGTTTAGAAATGTTTTTGGCTCCTTCATGGGAAGGTGCTTAAGCTTAGTGTGACCAGGATCTCTGCACAGCTGCAGGAGTGGATGCAGAGCAGAGAGCTGTGGGCTGGAGAACTGCACCAGGAGTGAGTGATGTAGCAGAGCCTCTTCTGTCCTTCCTTTGGAGGCTGAAGTTGCATCCATGTAGCTGTTTCAGTGCAAAAACAGTCCTACAGTGCCCTGTTTTGACATGGCCATGGATGAAATGTGGTGATGTAGCAGTATATTAGCTTTTATATATAGTACTATATGCTCCGACTCTCACTCTGCCCGGGGCCTCACCACGCTCGGGGGGAGGCAGCGCTGTGCTGGGGTGGTGAGATGCAGTGAAGCACTGGTTTTCATGTGGCATCTTTTCTTTCTGGGTGGTTGAGATGCAGCGAAGCCCTGGTTTTCACGTGGCATCTTTTCTTTCTGGATGGTGAGATGCAGTGAAGCCCTGGTTTTCGTGTGGCATCTTTTCTTTCTGGATGGTGAGATGCAGTGAAGCACTGGTTTTCGTGTGGCATCTTTTCTTTCTGGATGGTGAGATGCAGTGAAGCCCTGGTTTTCATGTGGCATCTTTTCTTTCTGGATGGTGAGATGCAGTGAAGCACTGGTTTTCACGTGGCATCTTTTCTTTCTGGGTGGTGAGATGCAGTGAAGCCCTGGTTTTCATGTGGCATCTTTTCAGCAATTTGCCAGGAAAGAATTCTTTTTAGCTTCTCAGTGTGGGGAGGGGAAAGGGATGGTTTCCCCCAACCCTTAGTAGTTTCATCGGCTGTTTAGAAATGTTTTTGGCTCCTTCATGGGAAGGTGCTTAAGCTTAGTGTGACCAGGATCTCTGCAAAGCTGTGGGAGTGGATGCAGAGCAGAGAGCTGTGGGCTGGAGAACTGTACCAGAAGTGAGTGATGTAGCAGAGCCTCTTCTGTCCTTCCTTTGGAGGCTGAAGTTGCATCCATGTAGCTGTTTCAGTGCAATAACAGTACTACAGTTGCCTTTTTGACATGGCCAAGGATGAAATGTGGTGATGTAGCAGTATATTAGCTTTTTTATATAGTACTATATTCGATTTTACAGTTGGAAAGGTGCTGGAAAACCTGAAGAACAGCTCACTGTTCATCAGCAGCTGAGCAGCTCTTTGGGTGAGCTCTGTTTGGGGCTGTGCTGTGACGTGCCATCCTTTGTCAGCCACCAAAGCCATCGTGGCAGATCTGTGTCCAGCTGGGTGCAAGGGAGAGGGTCCATTCAGCCCTGTGCCTCTCCACGGGGTCACTGCTGTCTCTTTGTAGGGTGGAAAACCAGCAGGGCTGTAGAAATCTCAGGTTTTTTAGGTTGTGACTTACATTGGAAACAGAGTGAAATAAAAATTATATATCCTTACTGACAAACTTGTTAATAAAACCTTGGATCCTGGGAAATAAGGGAGTTTTCGAAACCCAGCTCATTTTTCATTTCTACAAGCTCTGGGCCAAAGTAAATCCATGAAGTCATTTTTATTTCTGTTTCTCTGGCGCTGCAGTGTTTGTTTTGGGAAGGCGGCTGGGACCGCTTGTCTGAAAGCCTGGCTTTAGCTACTGCAATTCTGTTGTTATTTTAAGAGAAATCATCATAAACCCATCCCGCTCCGCTCGGGTTTGAACGGCACTAGGTCACTTTACAAAACCAAGCCTAGATTTGCTTTTCCTTCCTGGAGCCGACGTGAGTTGGGAGTCCTGAGCAGGCAGTGTCTGATGGAGGATAAATCGGTGTATGAGCCCGGCACAGATGTTTGGGAGCTGCCCCTAAATTAAGGGATTATGAGGCTGAGGAGTATTAACTGCTGCTCCGACGCTGTAAATCCACATAGAGCCGGGTGTCCTGCGTTGCAGCATGCTTATTGAGAAAGATTGAGGGGCAGAAAAATACCAAGGAAAATTGCTAAGACCTGGCATGGTTAATGATGTTTGAGTTTAGTGTGACCAGGATCTCTGCAAAGCTGTGGGAGTGGATGCAGAGCAGAGAGCTGTGGGCTGGAGAACTGTACCAGAAGTGAGTGATGTAGCAGAGCCTCTTCTGTCCTTCCTTTGGAGGCTGAAGTTGCATCCATGTAGCTGTTTCAGTGCAATAACAGTACTACAGTTGCCTTTTTGACATGGCCAAGGATGAAATGTGGTGATGTAGCAGTATATTAGCTTTTTTATATAGTACTATATTCGATTTTACAGTTGGAAAGGTGCTGGAAAACCTGAAGAACAGCTCACTGTTCATCAGCAGCTGAGCAGCTCTTTGGGTGAGCTCTGTTTGGGGCTGTGCTGTGACGTGCCATCCTTTGTCAGCCACCAAAGCCATCGTGGCAGATCTGTGTCCAGCTGGGTGCAAGGGAGAGGGTCCATTCAGCCCTGTGCCTCTCCACGGGGTCACTGCTGTCTCTTTGTAGGGTGGAAAACCAGCAGGGCTGTAGAAATCTCAGGTTTTTTAGGTTGTGACTTACATTGGAAACAGAGTGAAATAAAAATTATATATCCTTACTGACAAACTTGTTAATAAAACCTTGGATCCTGGGAAATAAGGGAGTTTTCGAAACCCAGCTCATTTTTCATTTCTACAAGCTCTGGGCCAAAGTAAATCCATGAAGTCATTTTTATTTCTGTTTCTCTGGCGCTGCAGTGTTTGTTTTGGGAAGGCGGCTGGGACCGCTTGTCTGAAAGCCTGGCTTTAGCTACTGCAATTCTGTTGTTATTTTAAGAGAAATCATCATAAACCCATCCCGCTCCGCTCGGGTTTGAACGGCACTAGGTCACTTTACAAAACCAAGCCTAGATTTGCTTTTCCTTCCTGGAGCCGACGTGAGTTGGGAGTCCTGAGCAGGCAGTGTCTGATGGAGGATAAATCGGTGTATGAGCCCGGCACAGATGTTTGGGAGCTGCCCCTAAATTAAGGGATTATGAGGCTGAGGAGTATTAACTGCTGCTCCGACGCTGTAAATCCACATAGAGCCGGGTGTCCTGCGTTGCAGCATGCTTATTGAGAAAGATTGAGGGGCAGAAAAATACCAAGGAAAATTGCTAAGACCTGGCATGGTTAATGAGTAAGAAGACAATTAGCTTTTTAATTGGAAAATTGAGCTCCTTCTGATGTGGATGTTACCAGCCCAGCTTGGCTGTCCTTGGTTTGGGAATAGGCGCTGCTCTGCAGGTGGGAGGGAAGAAAAGGTCCCAGTTAGAATGGCAGAATGGTTTGGGTTGGAAGGGACCTTTAAAGTCCAGCCCTGACATGGGCAGGGACATCTTCAACTAGACCAGGTTGCTCAGAGCCCTGTCCAACCCAGCCTTGAACACCTCCAGGGATAGGGGCATCAACCACCATTCTGGGCAACCTGGGCCAGTGTCTCAGCACCTTCAGAGTGAAAAATTTCTTTCTTGTATCTCGTCTGAATCTCTTCTCTTTCAGTTTAAAATTGTTCCCCCTCGTCCTATGGCTCCCCTCCCTCATCAAGAGTCCCTCCCCAGCTTTCCTGGAGCCCCTTCCAGTCCCTGAGGTCTCCCTGGAGCCTTCTCTTCTCCAGGCTGAACCCCCCCAACTCTCTCAGCCTGTCCTCCCAGCAGAGGGGCTCCAGCCCTCACAGTGTCTCCATGGCCTCCTCTAGCCCTGCTCCAACATGTCCACGTCCTTCTGATGTTGGTGGCCCCAGAGCTGGAGGCAGCACTGGTGGGTGCCCAGAGTGGAGCAGAGGGGCAAAATCCCCCCCTCTCCCTGCTGGCCACGCTGCTGGGGATGTAGCCCAGAAAGCTCCCCACATCCATTGACCCCAAGTCCTTCTCTGCAGGGCTGCTCTCCATCCTTTCATCCCCAGCCTGTATTGGTTTCAGGGGTTGCCCTGACCTGGGTGCAGGACCCTGCACTAGCTTTCTGGGCTGTGAGGACACATTGCTGGGGCACGTTGAGCTTCTCATCCATTGACCCCAAGTCCTTCTCTGCAGGGCTGCTCTCCATCCTTTCATCCCCAGCCTGTATTGGTTTCAGGGGTTGCCCTGACCTGGGTGCAGGACCCTGCACTTGGCCTTGTTGAACCTCATGAGGTTCACATGGGCCTGCTTCTTGAGCCTGTCCATGTCCCTCTGGATGGCATCCTGTCCCTCAGGTGATTCAGCTGCCCCACTCAGCTTGGTGTCAGCTGTAAACTTGCTGAGAGTGCACTTGATCCCACTGTCCATGTCATTGATGAAGATATTGAACAGTGCTGGTCCCTGTACGGACCCCCGAGGGACACCACTTGTCACTGATCTCCATCTAGACACTGAAGTTTTCAGCTGCCCCACTCAGCTTGGTGTCAGCTGTAAACTTGCTGAGAGTGCACTTGATCCCACTGTCCATGTCATTGATGAAGATATTGAACAGTGCTGGTCCCTGTACGGACCCCCGAGGGACACCACTTGTCACTGATCTCCATCTAGACACTGAAGTTGACCACTACCCTCCAGATGT